ATTCAAGGTGCATGAAAAGAAACAATTATGCCACCTTTTCTTCATTCAACTTCCCTTTGCACATAGCTCGAAGTTGCATTTTTTCTTCTCTAACCCCTCAATGCCACTCTATACTGTAATATGAATTCTTATCTTTTTTCATTTTTCTGTATTAATTCAGGTCTCTAATAGACCTCTGGCACTCCAGGCTTCACTTATCTATTATATTTCGGTATCCTGATTGTCCTTCCCCTTTCCCCCAGAAATAGTAGATATCCTCATTTGCTCTCTCTCCTTCCTCTTCTCTCTCTCCTTTCTCTCTCTCTCTCTCTCTCTCTCTCTCTCCCACCCATGTCTCTCTGTCTCCCTCCCCCATTCGCTTTCATTGTCCTTTTAGTTCACATTTCCAGTTTCTTCAGCCACATTTCTCTTGCTGTGTTGTCCTCACAGGTCCTAGCAGTATTTCCAGCAGCACAGGCAGGATTCTTACATCAGGCTGGTACAAACAGTCACCATGGCCTGTGGACAGACTGGTCCCTGTAGTCAGTCATCAAACTAAGCATTGTTTGTGGCATGGAATCTCTTTAACGAGTTGTTCTTTTTATAAGGAAATAAATCAACTGCAAGAGGACTTGCTATTGGAAACAGATTTTCCTATAGTACTGACAGGGACGATAGTCAAAACACAGAATTGAATTCAGCAAAGCATTAGCATTTAATCCAGCTATAGGGCTAGAGCAGGATCCTGGAGGCTCCCTGTTCATTCAGGTATTAACTCTGTGATTGCTAAATTACGGGAGTTTTGGGAGAGGGGAGTCTGAGTGAGGAGTAAGAGTGTCTAGGATATCAGGGAGGAAATAAGAGGGGGTTAGACAGAGATTTTTTTTTTTAACCAGCCAATATTGTAGTGTTTCAGTATTTCAATAAATAGTATGAACAAATTTGCATAGCTGGTCAATGTCAGGCTTTTGGCTTATACATTTGTCCTCACTCCCATTCTGTATTCTGGTTTTCCCTGAGACCAAGCACACATATCTAGATAGATATCCCCATTTTACAGATGAGGAAATTGAGACTCAGAGAAGACAAGTCATTGAAGGCTGGTTGGAGCTGAGATATAAAGCCAGGTCTGACTGACCCCAAAGATAAAGCTGTGGGAACTAAAAATGTTATACAATAGTATTCATTAATGTTCTATTACATTTGTTAATGACTCTTGCAGGTATTACTTAGTTCTTACAGCAACCTTGTGAAGTAGTGTGAACATTATTATCAATCCCTTTTTTAAGTTTGTGAAACCCAAGGTTTAGGAAGTAACTTCTTCAGAGATACCAAAACAATGAGCACAAGATGGACGAACTATTACTTGGTAGAATCTGAAGTATGGAACTACACATTTCCTAGAACACTGTCCCAATAATGCTTACTTTTCTCTACAAAGATGGCTGTGATAGTACATAAGTCAGTGGCCACACATTTAGAGTTGTTGCCTGGCATTGGATTGTCACTCAGCCAATTACATTCTTCCACACGATTCTCCTTAAAACCAACAGCAGCAACTGATGGTCAGTTAACTGGGATTTGAGGGTGATTTGTGGCCATGCAATAACCACACTAACCAGAACAAGACTAATTAGATGTAACTGACTAGATGTAATCACATTAACTAAAATAATATAAATTAAATGTAATAACCACATTAACTAGAATTAAACTTTGACTTCAGCTCTAAAATTCATGTGTTTTAGATACCACTCCTGTTAATTTGAAATTTCTTTTTTGGGAGTAATTTTTTGGCCTCATATCAAATGCTTTATCTAAATACAAACAGGTAAAATCTTTGATATTGCCTGTACTCAACATCTTAGACTAAGCATAAACTGCCCTAAGCAGAATTACTCAGACCTTCTTCTGTGCTCAGCACTTTATACATACTTTAACTATAGTCCACTTAAACTGTGATGCAATTACTTAATTACTTGTTGACTTAAACATTTTTTTCTTAATTTTTTGAGTCGGGGTCTCACTCTGGCTCCCAGACTGAAGTGTAATGGCACAATCATGGCTCACTGCAGGCTCCAACTCCCAGGCTCAGGCAATCCTCCTGCCACTGCCTCCTGAATAGCTGGGACTACAGGCACACACCACCATGCGCAGGTATTTAAAAAAATTTTTTGTAGAGAAGAGGTCTTGCTATGTTGCCTAGACTGGTCTCAAACTCTTGGGCTCAAGGAGTCCTCAGCTCCCCAAAATACTGGTATTACAGGTGTGAGCCACCCTGCCAGTCACTTGTTTATATTTCAAATGACTCAGAAGAACTTTGGCATATTAATCTTTTTTCCTCATTAACTAGATTATGTTTGGGACATAGAAGCTATTCAAGAAACAATTGTTGACTTAATTTGTACAACCACTAAAAAGTAAAATTCATGTTCTCTAATTTGGAAAAGAATTAGGAGACATCATAAAAAGTGGTGGAAGTGATAGTAACATTTGGTCTCTAGTGATAGAAACATACCATATTTAGTGGTGGAAGTGATGATAACATTTGGTCTGTCCTGGAACTTTATCTTTCTGATTAACTAAATATGGGGAATAAAGGTTTAAGAACGCTCATGCTTTATTATGACATTTACAAATCTGTTTATTGCATTATTGTATATGTAATTACAAGAAAAATTATCTGAGGTAAAAAGAGTATTCAACAACTTTAATTAAAATTATATGGATCTTTAAAAGATGATGTTGTTCTGTATATGTTAATATAAAAAAATTCATGATATATTGCTAAATGAATAAAGAGCAGGTTAGGAAGCAACAACTAAAGTATTATCTCATTTTGGAAAACAGTTCTATGCAGTGATGGGAGAAATTCCGGATGAATAATATTGGACTAATATCATTTATATCTTCCTCCTATCTAACTGAAATTTTGTGTTTTGACCAATATCTCCCTAATCTCCACACCTGTCATATATACTTAATTTATAGTGAATAATTACAATGTTCCTGGTATGAAATTAAATGTCTTCACACATGCTTTTAATTCTCACAATAACTCCATAAATTCATTAATTATTAACTAATTCCTCATTCAACTTCTATTTCTTGTCCCAGGCATTGTGCTAAATTTCAGAGATACAGTAGTGAACCCGATAGACACAGTACACAATGTTTTATCATGATCCTAACTTTACAGATGAAAATTAGACAGATTGTCCCACCCATCGGGGTCTTCTGGTTTAGCTTCCTTCTGGTCCAACTAAACACAGAGATTCACAAGTTTCCCACAGGCTACATTTGCCACCAGTTTATTCAGATGGATATGGCACAGGAACCACCCTGGCTTAGATACGGGGAGATAAGACCCACAGTAGGTAGATGCCACCCGACATCAAAGCCTCATTCCCCACATAACAACTCCAAGCCACAATACCCAGGTTCCCATAAGAAGTAGTATCACCATCAGGTATTTACAGCTCACTGTACTTTCTCCCAGTTCAAAGACAGTTTGCCAATCAGAAGTCATTTTTATCACAAGCGATGTGAGCTAAAAACATAGTTAGCATTTCATTCCTACCAGATTGCCAGGGAAACAGAACTAGAGAGTGAAGCAAAGGTCAAATTGTCATGCAGAAGGAGGGGAAAGGGTTTTGTTAAGTAGTTTATTTAATAAGCATTTGGCAGAGTGGATTCAAACTTAGGTTTGTCCAACTCCAAAGTGTAGCTTGTGAACTATACTGGATGGTAACAAAAAAATATCTCTAGAAGTAAAACTTTTAGATTACTTTTTTTCATACTTTCTGAATTCTCAGATGTTTTTTGTTAATGGGCATAAATTTATTTGTTAAAAGTTTTCATTAAAAAAAGACTATAGCAACATGAAAATATGCTTTTGCTACAGTATTAAGTGAAAGTAGTGAGAAACAAAATGATATATACCTTGCATTGTGATTAGTATGATGTAAAAAGAGATGTACAGAGAAAGAAGCCAAGCAAAAATACAAAGCAGTCTTACAATAGTTGAGTCAGGATGGTTGGCTTGCAAAGGGCTTTTTTCCCCTGTTTTCCAGATTTTCTATGAAATGGTTATGTTATTCTTGGAATACAATGGAATACATTCATTAAAATAGAAAAGGTTCTACATTTGGTTTATAAAATATTTGAGATGCAAACATATCAAACTAAGATCACAGATTTAGTTCCATTTAGTTCCATATTTTCTCATATAGGTGAATACATTTTAAACAAAATGTAACTATGTTAGAGGTCCCAAATTACTATTATTTTTTTTTTTGAGGTGGGGTCTCATTCCGTCATTCAGGCTGGAGTGCAGTGGCATGCTCACGGCCACCCCAGCATCGACCTGCTGGGTTCAGGTGATCCTTTCGCACCAGCCTTTCAAGTAGCCAGAACTACGGGAGTGTGCTACCATGACTGGTTAGTTTTTTTTTTTTTTTAGATTAGAGAATATAGTTTATTTAGAAAGTAAATTAGAGAGAGAGAGAGAAGATTCACCTCCCCAAGGTAGGGAAGGGGGCCAAAGTTTAAGAAAACATGGCCTGGCCATAGCTCAAAGAGCACATGGCCACACCATAGCTTAGCAAGACAATGGTCTATTTTTTTTTTTTAATTTATTGTAGAAATGAGGTCTCGCCAAGTTGCCCAGGCTGGTCTCGAATCCATGGGCTCAGGCCATCCTCTCACCTCAGCTTCCCAAAATGCTAGGATTGCAGGCTCACTCCACCACACCCAGCCCCAAATTATCTTAAAACACACAATGGACATGGAAGCCAGGAAGGTAGATTAGAGAGCAGTTCTGTTCCATTCCTGAAAGTCGCCCTGGGTAAAACAGGGTAAAACAATTTGCGGACACTGCTATTTCAGTGTATTACGGTAACCTCCCTAGGTCTGGGTTCCTGCGATAGAATGGGAATACTATTGCTCAACTCCTTTCACGTGTGGTCTATAGTTATTTCAGGGTGTAGCTATTTAAGGTTTCACTTTCTTTCAAAACTCACATTTTGGGCTTTATGTGATCCTTCTTTAGCCAAGGACTCATATAATTGGATGGCTGCTGTTATGTTTTGCATTCCAAAATTTCCAAATAGCAAAGCGTCAGCCATTTTCTCCATAGCTTTCAAGTTTCCCATGTCAGCTGCTTTGGCAAAGAGGACGTAGGCTCTGTTTCAGGAATATGAAGTCAGAAGTTTAATTTTCAAAAATAAAGCTTTCTGCTCCTTCCTTTATACTATTCACATTACTTCTCTCTAACAAGTAAGACCCAATAGTCATTGCTACGAATAATATAGTTTAGCTGAAGTACATTACATCTCTAGACCAGTTGCTTTTTTCATCCCTAGACAAATATATGTGACAAATAATAAAGCTACTCAAAAGGAGAAATATATAGGATACACCATGCTTCAAGCTTATCCATCAAGTGAAATGAAAAATGGAAGCTCTTATCCTAAAATAGCGAATTCTCCCAGGGCCACCACTGTTATTTATTAATATTTGTTCTATAATATGAATTCTGAAAGATGTAATAATCAAAATTGAAATGTCACCCCTAGGAAATTACCATCAGTTAAACAATGAATGCTTCTTATTCCAAAATAATTTGCTAAAAAGATAATATTCTTCAACACAGCAAAGTCAGACTGTTTGGAAAAACAATAAGCAAACAAAACCTTAATGGATAGGGTTCTAGAGTCTGACTGCCTGGTTCAAATTCACTTATTAGTTGGAGAACGTCCACTAAGCGACATAACTTCTCTGTGTCTCTCATTTATGAAATGGGGATAATAATAGCACCTACTTCATACAGATGCTTTGAAACTTAAATGAGATAATTTATGTGACGTGCTTGGCTTGGTATAGAGTAAGTACTCAATAAATTTAGCTATTATTATTGGGACTGTTGTGTTGCTTCTAAAGTTTTGTAGCATGGTAATTGTTCTCCTGAGTTTAGGTGGTAAATGATGTGAAAGTTTAGTGATTAAAATTATAGGTGGCACAGGATCACCTTACACTGCATTTTCTGAGTCCCTGGATCTGATCAAAAACCACCTGAACCTGATCTGTGTAACAAGTAGTGATGAAGAGTCTCCCAAGGTCAAAACATGTGTCAGAGACAGAGAGTGCTTTTGGGATTTATTTTTGCTTTTATAACTTCCTTTTTGGTAGTAGCAAGACCAGAAAGCATTAACCTCTACTCATGACCTTGACTCAAATACAGGAAAAATCACACAAATCTACCACTTTTTCCAACTAAGAAAGATCAGGAGACTCAACTTTCTGTACCACCTATCCATCCTGTTGTTAAAATAAACTGCTCCTGGGCAAAGGCTGAAGCAGAATAGTCTGGGCAAGAAGGGCCTAAAACAGAGTAACATCCAGGCAAGGAAGAGTCCTGGATGTCAAAATAGAGGGTGAGTGCTCCATTGGAAAAAAAGAGGTAGAAAACTAGAATCCAGGAAATCAAGAGATAAACTAACCATGGTCAGAGCAAGCTGAGATTCTGGAGGCTGGAAGGCAACGCTGCAGGTCAATAAAGAAAAATGTTTGGCACCCAGGGATAGGCATCAGGAAGATTGCCTGAAATTGGGATACAGATCCCCTTGAGCCGTCTGTCACATGACTTGCTACTGCAACTACATAACCCTCTGGAACAGAAAGAACACCAGCATGGACCAGGGCACAGAAACCTGAGATAGGCTACAGGAGCATCCCATATTATATCTAGTATATCCAGCAGTAATGGATCCACTTTCTGGTCCCAGGGGCATCAACAGACTGCAAAACAAACAAATCCTTCTTGGTGTCCTTGATTCCATGGGGAGGGGTGGGTACTTGGGTTCCATGTCAGGAAAATTCAAGGTGATATAAGGGATACTAGAAGCAGGATCCAGGGTTGGAGAATATTGCTGGTAGGTTAGGTAAGGTGAATATCCAAGCTGTGGTCCTCAGCTGGAGAATGGTGGGAGAAGCCGAGCAGCAGGGACAGATCTCAAAAGACAACTCAGTGAGGTATCTGGATCTTCCATACAGGGCCTGACTTTGGATGCTAAGGTGGGTGCTGGGGGAAGAGCAGCTAAATACTTCTCCAGGGCACATCAGAAATTTAGTATGGAACAACAACTTATTTTCAGACTTCTTTGCTGATGAGGAGTGATTCTTTTTTTTTGAGTTGGAGTCTCACTCTCTCACCCAAGTTGGAGTGCAGTGGCACACTTACAGCTACCACAGCGTCGACCTGCTGGGCTCCAATGATCCTTCCTCCTCAGCCTTCCAAGTAGCTGGAACTACAGGCGTGCGCTACCACTCCCAACTAATTTTTGATTTATTGTAGAGATGAGGTCTCGCCAAGTTGCCCAGGATGGTCTCGAACCCCGCACTCAGGCAATCCACTCCCCTCAGCCTCCCAAATCCACTCCCCTCAGCCTGGGATTACAGGCTGAGCCAGCTGAGGAGTGATTTTTTTTTTTGAGTTGAAGTCTCACTCTGTCACCCAGACTGGAGTGCAGTGGCCGCTCCCGGCCACCGCAGCCTCAACCTCCTGGGCTCTGGCGATCCTTCCACCTCAGCCTTCCGAGTAGCCGGAATTACAGGCACGAGCTACCACGCCTGGCTAATTTTTTGATTTATTGTAGAGATGAGGTCTCGCCTGCCCAGGAGGGTCTCTAACTCGTGGGCTCAGGCTGAGGAGTGATTCTTAATGAAGGACCAAGCCTGGCTGTCACTGAGGCTTTCTCACTCACTCAGAAAGTTTGCTTTCTCTGATAACATCTGTACTTTCAACAGCACTGACTTGTTGAATGACATTTTTCACTTACGCATAAGAAGAGGATAAATGAATTGGTCCAGAATATGGGTGTGGATGAGCCACAATGACTAGTATTATTTCAATCTTATGGTCCCCCTCCCCTGGGAGTGCCAAAACAAGGAGAGGGCAGGACAGAGGAGGGAATGGGAATGAGATGTTTTCTCTTTGGTCAGTGGGTGTGCATTCATTCTTCACCTACCTGAATCTTAGACATGGCTATATAGGTGTAACTGGCTTGAAGAGCGTATGGGCTTTCCTGGTAACCCAAGTGGCTTCCCTCAGTTCGCCCACAACCTCCTGGGATCTCTTGCTATGAGCAGATTTAGTTTCAATTCTCCATTGCTATCAACTCAAAAGGGACAGTTTTGTGTACTCTCTGATGTATGCATGCTGCTATGAAAACAAGCTGCCCTTCTGTCACCCTGGGTAAGGAGTTGGGCCGGACTCTTTGGGCAAGAACAACCTGAGACTGAATGACACCCAAGTAGGCATAAATGTTCCCATACTGATGGCTAGTTCTGACATTAGGACTGAGCTTTCTCCCTGTCCTTTAAGTCAAAGAAGAAGGTTTCCTTTGAGGTTAAGTAGGTAATTACTTGGGAACTTCTAAGTGATTTTGTCCCATCAGGGTGAATCCAAAGTTTCCCTGGATTTGATGGGGGAACACCTAGAGGGCTCCTTGTCTCCTTGGGCTTCCTTGCTATAGGCAGAGCTTGTCTGAAATCCCAGGACAGTCCCTTCTCAGTACTCCATTGTTCTTTCATCTAGCTAGGCTGAGTTACTCATCCTTTCAGGGAGCATCTCAGTGAAACGACCCTCCTATTAGGCTGGGTTGTATTTTAGGGGTTTGCTTTCACCCCATCTTCATCAAGACAGCCCCCAAGGATGTTCCTTGTGAGGCTCCAGTTTTACTGAGGATGATTTCCTTTGCTTTTATAAAGAGCTTCTAATCCAATTTTTCCTAGAGAGAGAAACAACTCCTTGTTTCTTGGGAAGAATTACAGAATCTTTTAGACTCCATGTTCTCCTCTGTAATTTGGGGATAATTATCTATGTCTCACAGTACCACTCTGAGCAATGAATAATATTACACATGTAAGGTACCTAGAACAACTAGTACAACGTAGGAGCTTGATAAATGAAATGTGTTGATGGTATAACCAGGATCATAATTGAGTGTCCCATTTCCTTTAAGTCTTACTCTCTCCTCAGAGGCTTCAGATTTTAAGACCTCACAGACTTGCTGCTGCTATGTCCAGTGCCAACTACCACAGTTCTGGTTGGTTCAGAACACCCTTGCTTTCTTTGTCCCCATAGCTTCCACTTACAATTAGAGAGCTAGAGATAAAAATAACCCATATTTGTCTTCTAGTTACCATGTGTCAGCCATTTATTGTTCTAAAAGGCTGAGTGTATTATACAGGCCAAAGGAAGTTTGGTAACTCACTCTGGTCCACACTGACAGTAAATGATAGAACTATTTGATCCCAAAGCTTTAACTAGAGCCTTGAGGGATGACTTCAAGTTGTGCCCCTTGGGAGAAGGAAAAAGATATTTCTGTTTCTTAGGTAAGGTAGATACATGAGAAGAGAAACAATGGAGTAGTACCATGTGGCCACAGCTTGGTCATCCTCCCAGTTGTGTATCTATGGTCACCTCACTTCATTGTCTTTGAATCTCTATCTCCCACTTTTTATATTTTTAATTTATTTTTATTTTTTTATTTTTATTTTGTGAGTTGGAGTCTCACTCTGTCACCCAGACTGGAGTGCAGTGGCTGCTCCCGGCCACCCCAGCCTCGACCTGCTGGGCTCCAGTGATCCTTCCCCACTCAGCCTTCCAAGTAGCTGGAACTACAGGCGCACGCTACCATGCCCGGCTAATTTTTTGATTTATTGTAGAGATGAGGTCTCACCAAGTTGCCCAGGCAGGTCTCGAACCCGCGGACTCAGGCAATCCACTCACCTCAGCTTCCCAAGGCACGGGATTACAGGCTGAGCCACCGATCCCGGCTTATCTCCCACTTTTTAAAGGAGAAAAGTAAAACTCCCTTTTTACCTCATAAGACTATTTTGGAGATAACACGGAATCACATATACAAAAGTTTTTTGAAAACCATGAGGTGCTGAACAAAGGCTCAGTTAGGTAGAATAAAGCATTCTAATACAGCAACTGCTCTAATTCAAATAATGCATTTTATTTAAGTTGAATTATCTAATAAATTAAAGCCAAAAGAATATTTTTGCTTGAATGCTCCAATCAGTGCCTTAATTCTGCATTTCATTTAGTACACAGGGACTCCAATCTCATATATAGTTCTATTTGTTTAGGGTGATAATTTGTGGAATTATTTAAATATAATTTATTTTAAAAACAAAAGCTGATGAACAAATAAGCACATTTGTTATCCCAGTAAGTTTTTAACTATACACTAAATTTTGGATTGTTCTTTTTTTCTTAGCCTGGAAATTTAACTTGACTAAGGTAGCTGAATAAAGACTTACTCTGCTTTTTGTTTTTGGTTTTTAGACTGCTGGAGAATCTTGGTGCCCATCTTAAATAGCTGATCTCCTTCATCTGTGAAATTTTTCTTTGCTTGCTTTTTTACTGTACATGGACAAAGAAAAAAAAGTGTTACTTCTATGTTTTACATGTCTAAAATAATGTACTGATGTAATGTGCTCATGTATGAGTTTAAATTTTGCTCTAATTATTTTAACCTCTACATTTCTTTTTTTTTTGAAATTTTACAAAATTTATTTTCTAATTACATTAAGTAATTAAGTAGCAACCATACATGTTTCCCTTCTTTAAAAATGTTGAACAACATAAATAAAAGTCTTTGATGACATACATCTAATCTTAGTGTTTTCCAAAAGAGGCACAGCAAACTGATAACACTGGTTTCATCTTTGGTTCATCTTTCAGATCTTTCTCTACATATTTACATATATATGTATAAAACCCCTACATTTCAAAAAGATTTGTTCATATTATTCCTTAGCTCCGGGATATTGGTAATTCGGAAGATAGAAGCTGCCTTAAAATGTGTCTTCTTTCTGTCTTTTGTGAAAGGTTCTGGAGAGTAAAGAAAGATGTTTCTGATGGTATAAGGAATGCTCCCAGTCTACAAAAGGGATACAAGGTTCTGCAAGCAAAAGGCAGGGCTTGCTTGATACACCCTAAGTGCAGGATCTTAGGCACCTGGCTCTGGGTCCTGGTTGCCAATAACTCCCTTGTCTGAGCCTGGTGCAAAAACCTCAGAGTCACAAGATTCCAAGAGAACACGAGGACATGAGCAACAGGCACCTCAAAGATGACCAGTGTGCACCTAGGAGGGGAGGAAGGTATCTCCGTAAAAATTTTGCTCTGCCTAAGACTTCATCTCCTCCCCAGAACTTTTCTAAGACCATGGGGAAAGCACAGAGAGATAATATCATTAATAACTTGCCTTGTAGCATAGGGACTCCAAATCAATTTGATAGAATTCAAGGAAAATAAAGAAATAAAATTGGCTAAACTCAGTAATCCCACCACTTTGGGAGGCTGAGGTGAGTGGATTGCCTGAGCCTGAGGGTTTGAGAGCAGCCCAGGCAACTTGGCAAGACCTGTCTCTACAATAAATCTAAAAATTAGCCGAGAGTGGTAGTGCATGCCTGTAGTTCCAGCTACTTGGAAGGCTGAGGTGGAAGGATTGCAGGAGCCCAGCAGGTTGACACTGGTGGTGGCCATGAGTGTGCCACTGCACTCCAACCTGGAAGATGGAGTGAAACTTCACCTCAATAAAAAAAAAGAAAAGAAAAGAAAGAAAAAAGAAAGAAAATTTTACCTGTAGCAACATTTCCCAAACATTTATATAACACTTCAGGATTTTCAAAACCTTATCACTAGTTTATAGATGGAGAAAGCTGGTTGTAGGAAGAGTCAGACTTAAAGATCCATACATGCATGTACACACAGACACACACACACACACACACACACACAGCTTTCCACAACATCACAGTGCCTCTTAAAGTCCATTACAACAATTAGTGAAGTCTCCCATTAGGAGACCCACACCTAAAGGAAAGGCATTTTTGATCTGCTGCCTCATTAACAAGACCACAAAAGAATAAGTGGGTCTTGCTTTTCTTCTTCTGACAAGCTATCAGAGTTGCTTACTTTTTAAAAAAATTTTAAAAAACTTTTAAAAATTAATTTTAAATTTAAGAAAGTATTAACTTGAAAGTCCATTTAAAATTATTTTGAATGCTTCAAGTTATCCAACTAATTTAGTAACACCAGACACTTTTAGCATCTAATTTCTGTGCTGAATATGTTATCTATACTCATGATTAAGGGAGGAAAATAATGGGAAAAAATCCTGCTAATCTATGTGTGGAATATTAATAGGTCCTATTAACATGCTTTTAAAGAGTGAAAATAAATTTTGAAAGGTTGGTGCTGCAGGTGTGTACACATGAGAAATAATTCACCATTAAAAATTTCTACCCATGGATTTTACTTTTATTTGTAATTATTTTTTGGCTTCCCAAATTTATTGAAATACAAATTTTCTTTACTCTAAGAGAGCTAAATTATCAGTTAGAGTTATTTTGAAAATGTTTGATTTCTTTCTTATGGTTTAACAATTTCCAAATTTGGGGAAGGCACAGCCAAGACATGATCTGAGCAGATTGTGCTGGACTTAAGTGGAGGGCCTTCCTGAGTCTGGAATTGTCTTAATGGCCAACAGTGGATGCCTCTTGTGATGGAGGATCTAGGGGACAAGTTGAGAAATAAAAGAGGGAGATTCAAATGGGACAGAGCACTATTTAAGGTGACTGCAAGCATGGAAAATGTTCCAAGAGGAATTTATATTTCGGTGTTTTCCAGAGTCATAATTTATAGAAAGCTCTTGACAATTTCTGATTTCCTCATTCTTTTTTTTTTGAGTTGGGGTCTCACTCCGTCACCCAGGCTGAAGTGCAATGGCACACTCATGGCCACCCCAGCTTCGACCTGCTGGGTTCCTGTGATCCTTCTGCCTCACCCTTCCAAGTAGCCAGAACTACAGGCACATGCTACCACTCCTAGCTAATTTTTTATTTATTGTAGAGACGAGGTCTCGCCAAGTTGCCTGGGCTGGCCTCGAACCCACAGGCTCAGGCACGAATCCACTTGTCTCGGTCTCCCAAAGTGCTGGGATTACAGGCTGAGTCACCAAGCCTGGCCAATTTCCTCATTCTTAATAGCATTATTTCATATCTAACTTGAATGCCATTATGGGCTAAACTATGATTTCCCCAAATGTACATGTCAATGTCCTAATCCCCAATATAACTTTATTTGGAAATAAGTTAAAATGCAGCCATTAGAGTGGGGCCCTAATCCACTATGACACATGTCCTTATTAGAAGAGGAAGAGACAGCAGGCAGGCATGTGCACAGAGAAAAGACCATCAGAAGACTCAGTGAGTATGTGGCTATGTACAGGCCAAGGAGAGAGGTCTGAGAATAAAACCAATACTGCCAGCACCCTGATCTGGGACTTATAACTTCCAGGACAATGAGAATATAAATAATTTCTGTTGTTTAAGTCACTTGGTCTGTGATATTTTGTGATGACAGCTCCAGGAAACTAATACAGATTCTCTTGACTGCATGGAAAACAAACAGCCTCTTTTCCCTGTGGGAAGGGTTGTACCTGAATTCAGCTTCCCATTAGATCAGTCTTCTGATGGTCTTTTCTCTGTGCACATGCCTGCCTGCTGTCTCTTCCTTTTCTAATAAGGACATAAGTCATAGTGGATTAGGGCCCCACCTTAATGGCCTCATTTTAACTTATTTCCAAATAAGGTTATATTGGGGATTAGGACATTGACATGTACATTTTGGTCTTTTCTCTGTGCACATGCCTGCCTGCTGTCTCTTCCTCTTCTAATAAGGACAGTTTCCAATTAGATCTATGTGCAAGAGGGGCTATAATATCCTGTAGACCCCCAAGGTCACCAGGTGCTGGACATTGGACTTCCCCAAGTAGCTGGATGCCCAAGTAGTCCACCTTTGACAAGGCCTCCTTCTCATGCTTACACTCTAAGTAGCAGGTAGATATTCCAGGTGTCCAGCAATCCCTGGATCTCGCTCACCTCTCTGTGGGATGACAGGAGACCTAGGGATCTATACCTTCTCTTGCTGACCATTCAATTGTAAATTTCCCTAACCAAGTCTATTCCTTAATCCATACCACTTGTCTTTGTGGAATTCATGAAGAATCCTCTTGTTTAATAATGATTAGAAGCAAACCTCTAGAGCAAAAATGACCCACATGCTTGTTTCAAACGAGAAAGAGGAGACCTGGGAACAACTTGTACTGTGTCCTTCATTCATTCACTTGTTCATTCAGTTGGTGTATATTGAATACCTACCATGTTTAAGACATGGTGGTAGATATCATGACTAGCAAGATGGTCGAGAGACTGTCTCAGTCTGGCAGTAGAGACAGACTTGTTTACATAAAATTACAGGGCTCTGTAGTAGGGACTGTATAATAAGGCATTGGGGGAGCACAAGAAGATACTCTACAAACAATAGAAACCTGATTGGATTAATGTAAATAAAAGGAACTTATTGGGAGACTGTTGAATGCTCATGGAGTCAATGGGGAGAATGGGAACAAAGGCATTTTGAAAGGCAGAGAGGCAGATGCTGCTAATAGGATAAACTGGAATTCAATTCTTCTAGAATCTTTCCCTCTCTGCTCCAGGCGCCATGGAGAATAAGTCTGATGGGTCTACATGGGGATGACAGGATTTCTCATTATATTCCTGTCAGAATGTATAAATTGGGGAAGACCTAAATCCCCAATTTCCCTGGGGAATCAGAAAAACAAAAGAGGAAAGAAAATGTGGGTAGTGAGAAAGGTAAAAGGGTTGCTGAGGAGCCCCAAACAACAAATGCCCATCGCAAGCACCTTCCCCTGGCTGAGTGAAATGAAGAAATCTACTAGATAAGGTGACATTTTAGATCGCTCCTCAAAGGTAGGAGTTTGTCAGCTCAAGAAGGTGAAACTGGCGTTCCATTTGGAGGAATCTATGCATGCAAATGAACCATGGATATGAAACGATGTCTTGAATGCAGAGAGAGCTTGAGTGACATGGATGGGCATGTGGTGCAGGTCAGCTGTAGAAGCCATGGCAATAGGAGTGGATAGAGGCATGGAGAGAGAGTGGAGGAGGAACTAGAAGCCATTGGGAAGGTGAAGGTGATTTGGTAGGTGAAAGAGAAAGAGCAGAATGGCAGGTAAGCAGTTCTGATCAGAGACAATTATTTTAGAGTTCAAAATCATATTGGTGAAATAGCTCTGCATGTAGCTGTGAAGGGACTGAGGGATGTGGAGACAAAGATGATTGGACCTAAGAAGGTCTGGGCGCCGGGCTTGGTGGCTCAGCCTGTAATCCCGCGCTTTGGGAGGCCGAGGTGAGTGGATTGCCTGAGTCCGAGGGTTCGAGACCCGCCTGGGCAACTTGGCGAGACCTCATCTCTACAATAAATAAAAAAATTAGCCGGGCGTGGTAGCGCGCGCCTGTAGGTCCAGCTACTTGGAAGGCTGAGGCGGAAAGATC